TGAGTTTTCTGCTGACAATTTAATGGTATTCCTTCAAATTCCTTAGAGGGAATAGTATGGTCTTCACAATAAGAATATATGAATATGTAAACTAAGCCAAAACCCAAATGTGACCTATCGTAATACATTGACGAAATTCAATTTATATTTTTCCCTTTCTCCTTCCTTTACTAGTGAGATTCACATTAACTTTCCAAAAAACATAGGTGCTATTTTTAATACATATTTTTTTCAACATAATTTTTGCGGCCTTTGTTGATTATTTTTGTATCTCTGGTTACACCTCTTTCAAATCTTATAGGAATACCACTAACTGCATGGGGTACTATTAAACAGCACAGAAAACTCAACCTTTTTTTTTTCTTTGAGTCTTTTTTTTTCTTTGAGGGTTTTTTTTTTTTTTTTTTTTTTTTGCCGTAGAGTTCCTGCACTCATCAGAGAGAGACTATATATTTGCTTTTTTGTTGTCGTTAAGAGAGATTTTCAGTTTAGGGTGCATGCACTCGCTGAAGAGACAGAGAAACAGAAAGTAAGATGTGTCCCCCCCAATCCCTTCTCCTCCATTCTTCTCTTGGGCTTTTGGACATGCATGTACATGTGCTTGGTGTGATTTTCAAGTCACCAGGTCCAGGACTCCAACCATGGTTGACTATGTGGGAGTCCTGTGCCTTAGCCATCTTGCCAGTTGCTGGCCCCAGAAACCTCACTCTTAATTACTGTCCTGTGGTGCTTTGCTCTTTCTTGGATGTATGTGGAGGGGGAACAGGGATTATCATTCATGTTTCCTTCAAATCACAGGACTGAGGAACAAAAATTACTGAGTTAAAACATGGTTCTTGATCGTAAGCGCAAGTGGGAATAAAGAAGCAAACATAAACCTTGGTGTCCACTTTTCTGTTCAATAGTTTGTTCCTCTGTATTCCTCTTCTTGCTAGCAGTATGTAAACATAGTTGTTTTAAAGCAAGCTAAAAGCATTAGAAACTGTGCTCTTAGAAATAGCTCCTTGCCGGCGTCTGTAATCATCCATCACTTCTCCTTTTCTTCATTGGCCATTTGCTTGCTAGTTTTCAAAACCTTCTGCTGTTCTGTGACTATCTATGTTGCTTCGAGGATAAGAAAGGTTGGGGTTCACTAAATTGATCATTCCAGTGCCAGTCCCAAAACCTCTAGAGTCCCTTAGATACTAAATAAGAGCAAAAGTTTTTTGTTTCAGTATCAGCACTTCCTCCCATCTCTGTCAGCTGCAGAGAATTAACTGGAGAGCAGGGAGACTGATGGTTAGCCAAAGGCATGCCTGACTCACAGATTGGTTAATCAGCTCTGGAACAATTTTGATTTGGCTGCATTTGTAGTGATTCTGGTCAGAAATAGCAAGGAATGAGGAGTTTCTTTTTTCTTTCTTTCTTTTTTTTTTTTTTTTACATTTTTTAAAATTTCATTTTCTTTTATACATTCAATCACATTATTTAGTTTACAAAGTGAATATTTCAACAGGTGAACATTTTTCCTTTTTGTTTGTTTTTCTCCTTTCCCCTGACTCTACCTTCAGATTGTCAAACTATTGCTGTTTTAGCCCAGTTGAACTATTTAGGGGCCTCTCTCTTGCACAGAGACCTGGACCTCCAAGGTCCTTAGATCTGTGATGGATAAGCTCAGAGATCCCTGAGTGACATTGCTGCATAAAGGAGAAAGATGAAACAAGGCCTCTGTTGCCTAAATATTTGTGCGATTAGCAGTAATGAAGGGAGAGGATTATACACGAGGTTAGTCTGCTCGTGTCCACAGAATTCCTTTCAAAATGAATCGTTTAAAGAATTCACTGATGGTGACAGGAGCTCTTTAAAAGGACCATTGGACTCTGTCAGCCTTTTGGGATCTGATCTCATTGTCAGTGTCCTGTGATTTGATTGAAAAGCCTGGAGTTCTGGGGTCATATGACATATAATTTCAGACAAGTGGCTTCCAATATAAGTGGAAGTGAGACACCTCTCTTACATTGTCTTCCTTCACTGAAGTTCTCTCACTGACTTGGTGTGACCTGCTGCATTATTCTAGAGAACAGGACATGTAATACCGTACCAATATAACCTGTTGTGCCAGGCACTGTTTTCAGTACACTGCATGTATTGACTCACAAAACCTCCCAACAACCTAGTTAGGTAAATATTATTAATCTGACTTCACATAAGCAAGAACCAAGAGACTGAGAGCTTAATTGATCTTGCCTAAAATCTAATAAATGTGAGAGCCGGGATTTAGAATCGGAGAGGGACAGCTTCAGAAAACTCAACCTTTTTTTTTTTTTTTTTTTCGCCATAGGGCACCTACACTCATCAGAGAGAGACTATATATTTGCTTTTTTATTTATTTATTTTTTGTTAGAGAGATTTTCAGGATAGAGTACATGCACTCGCTGAAGAGACAGAGAAACAGAAAGTAAGATGTCATCCCCCAGGAGAGATGATCATGCCGCAATCCCTTCTCTTCCATTTTCCTCTTGGGATTTTGGGCATGCACACACATGCACCTGGTGTGATTTTCAAGCCACCAGGTCCAGGACTCCAACCATGGTTGACCACGTGGGAGTCCCGTGCCTTAACCATCTTGCCACTTGCTGGTCCCAGAAACCTCCCTCTTAATCACTGTGGTGCTTTGCTCTTTCTTGGATGTGTGTGCAGGGGAACAGGAATTATCATTCATGTTTCCTTCAAACCGCAGGACTGAGGAACAAAAATGACTGAGTTAAATCTTGGTTGAATTTTTTTTTTTTTGGAGAGGTTTTCACTATAGGGCATGTGTGCTCACCAGACAGAGACAGAGAGACAGAAAGCGAGGAATCACCCCCCAGGGGGGATGGCCACGCTGCAATCTCTTCTCCTCCATTCTCCTCTCGGGATCTTGGGCACAAACACACACATGGCCGGCATGAGTTTTAAGCCACCAGGTCCAGGATGCACACCGCGGTTGACTAGGTGGGAGTCCAGCGACATAGCCATTACACTAACTGCTGGTCCTGGTTGAATTCTTAATGTAGAGTCGAAGCTAGAAGTATTCCAAAAAAGAAGGTATTTTTATATTCAGGGAATTAGAGTAATTTAAGGGGACAAAGCATACATTTAAAAAGAAAATACAGGGACCAGCAGATGGCATAATGGTTACATAGCTGGACTCCTATGTAGTTGACTACATTTCAAGTCCTGGACCTGGCATCTTAAAACTCACACCGGGCATGTATGTGTGTATGTGTGTGCGTTCCCAAAATCCAAGGGAAGACTGAATTTCAATTTTGAAATACCTGGGAGCAAGCAGTATATATCAAGATTAGAAACCTGGACATCTAGATTACATAAAACCTTTTGTTTTTCTTAGTAATAGTTTCTGCATGCTAATTATGTTCCAAGTAGAGTCCTGTTAGGAAATCTACTTGTCAAACAGACCAAATGGAATGACAAATAGGAATGATATTACAAGAGAAGATTCACCATATCCTAATGAAGAGTGGCCCTGAAAGACAGGAGATAAGAACAGCTTGGCTCTTGGATGACCAGAAGGATTGTGAAGGTCCCATAACATCTCAATCCTTTTCTTGGCTAGTAGTTTTTATAGTTAGAAAGTCAAAACCTTGGGGCCAGCAGGTGGCATGGTGGTTAGGGTGCTGGACTCTCATGTGGCCAACCACAGTTTGAATCTGGGACCTGGAGACTTGCTTTCTCACTTTCTCTCTCTCTTTCTCTCTGGTGAGAGCACATGCCCTGTAACAAAAAATGTAAAATAATAGTAATAATAAATAAAGTAAAATAATTCTAAAAAAAGAAAACCAAAATCTCTTTTACTCTTCTTTCTTATGCTCATTAAGTTAATATTCAATAATAATGATATTCATCAATACAGAGAGCAAGTCATTACTACCATGTATCTAAAAATCAAAATGCTCAGTACCTGGAACTGTATTAGGCGCTTACATGCGTATTTCTTCATTCAGTTAACTGAATATTTCATCATCTACTTAGCACCAAGTTCTGTACTAGCCATCAAGGATGAACGCTATGGCTGATGAAGCCAAAGCTTTGAGGGTTTATGAAAGTCTAATTGCAGGGAGAGATCTATCATCAGGTAATTGTAAGATAGCTGGCCAAGACTCATGATCAGCAACATGATCATATATCCCCGCTTCCCTGGATGGAGCTAATTTGGATAATAAATTGTATTACCCACCCAATTATAGGAAATAGAATGAGTACATAAATGAGGAATCATATGGGCAGGGTGTTTAATCCAGCACTTGGAATAGGTCATGGAGGGATCTTAGTTGATACCGGCAGGCTGAATAAGGGAAAAGGTCGCAGGGAGGGAAGTAGTGGTACAGAAAGCAGAAAGGTGCACATTTCAGGCTGTGTTTGCAGATTTGCTGGATTAATTAATGAATAAATAAAACATTGTGAAAGGGCAAACTCCCAGAGAATTTCAATCTCCAATGATGCATTTATAATAATTTTATATGTATGCATAACATTTCTTCTTGGTCTATTTCTAAAATAAGGAGTTTGGACTAGTTAATGTATGAAGTCTTATATCTTTAATATTATACTGCCTAAGACCCCATCCCAAACAAACTGTAGCTGAAGAAAGAGAAATGGTCAATACCCACCTAATTGGTCCCTTTTTCCCATTGTTAGTGACTTAATTATTTTTCAGTTATTCTATTCCAATTAGTTTTATTTCTTCAACTTGAGTGAAAGCTTTATGACAGGAGAGACCATTTCATAATGGGAGATATAAAAATTTCTCCCATTCTGTGAATATTGGTTCATGGAGATTGGTGATGCAGAAGTAGACAGAACCATTTTTTTAATTTTTAAAATTCTTTTGGTCTTATTATCCCTATCAACAATTGATTATTATTAGTCTTTCCAAGGTATTTTAATTCTGGGACTATTTTTCCTTAGTGGTTATGTTTTTAGCTTATTTTTGATAGACACCTTGTTTTCTTTTTATTTAGGACCTTCCGAGTTATTGGATATGGCAGACAGCGAAACGTGAGTGTTGCCTTTTATTACATAGCATAGATCACTTTCTTCAGAACATATCTAAGGAGAAGAGTGTAGTCTACAGGACGTATTATAGATAATTGTAATTTTATTGACTAAAAGTCCACTTTCAACTGTATTTATAACTGTGAAGGGCTAATTATCAAAATTAAAATTATGCAATAAATGGATAACGAGGATCATAATGACTACATGCATAATCAATGTTATTCATCATTTAGAGTTTCCAGTAAGAAAAGCATTTCTTCATTGAAACTTCTTGGACTGCGGAGAAGTCTAAATAAATCATTTCTCTTTTTATGTACCAATTATATTTATTCTTTCTCAGTTGAGGCTTGTCAGAAAATGAAGTCCTTCTACCCTTTCCCATCCCCTGCATGTAATGATGTAACTGCTCTCTGTAAGTCTGGAATGGGACAAGGTCAGAGAACACTGGAGAACTGAGAACATATAGCAACTAATCATTCTGTGTGTGTGTGTTCTGTGGTTTAGATGAGAAAGCCTCATTAAAAAAGCTATTAGCTATAGGACAGCCCCTAAACATATAATGTTTATTTTCAACCTTATTATTTCTACAGCATCAAAAGGGCTATTGCCCCCAAACAGGAACCAAAAAGGCCAAACAACTAACACTGTAAGCCACATGAGAGCCATTAAAGAACTTCAAAGAAATTAAAAAAGGAATAAAGAAAAGTGGAGATGGAGAGGAATAAGGTGTTGAGTACCTAAGGAGGTAGGAAGGAGAAGTAGAAATGAACAGAATGGAACATGTGTGGAGGAGTATATGTACGAGTTATTAGACATGGAAGACACTGTCCATTGCTCTGTAGAGCTGGTCTGCACGCCAGCACATCCTATTGACAAGGAAGTAAATAGTACCAAAACTTACTCCAGTTCATTTTCTGTAAGGGCTACATTTTTTTTTTCATGGAACACTTTGACATTAAACATCTTTTTCTTTTGGGCTCAGAAAGGGAATATCCTCCTCCACTTTCCTTCAGGCCTTCCCCACACTGAATGGCTGGCTTCAGACCTGCTACCCACTGGGGAGAATGTTGTCTCCTGCACTCTCCCAGACTCTCACTGTGCCTCTCAGATATCCTCTATGGCTGCCCTCCTCCTCCCACCTGCCACTCACCCAGAATCAAAGTGGGTGGAGCAGAGTGGGTAGCTGGTTTTTGAAGGTGGGTTTCCAGAAGATAGTCCTCAGAAGGCCAGTGGACCTCTAAGTGCTATTCAATGTGTCTGAAAGACCAGTGGTTCTCTACACTGCTCCCTGGGTCCACCATCGAGGGCCTTAATACTCTGTCCATATGCATATGCCGAGAGAACTGCACCAGTGTTCAGCCTCATCTACAGAGTCTATTTATTAGTGCCATTGGATGTGACCTAAATCAAACGTTAGTAGTATTTTTTTTTTTAATCACTAACCTAGTTAACACTGTTTAGAAAAGAGGCTGGAGGGGTTATTATGGTCAGTCGATGACTAACCGAAGGAATTTGTAGTTACCCGCCTTCCCAGAACGTACACTGGCAGACATGGCTGTGGAGGGCCCACCCATAGACACCCACAGA